TTTGTTAGGACGTCCTAGTGACGTTAACATAAAGACGTTATCAGGACTTCCATATTAGGACGTCCTATTGACGTCCCTAAGACCTTCTTTAGACGTCCTAGTTACCTTGGAAATAAGTTGCCTCAAGGACGTTTTCAATAAAAATTTATATTAAAAGAATATAACTTAGCGCATAAAATATTATGCGCTAACTCGGTTAATTAAAAATGTCGGTAGAAACATGATTCCATAGCCTAAAGTTAGGTGACGTAATGTTTATTTTTTGGCGAATAATTAAGTATTTAAGATGCAAAAAGCATTGTTAAGTTATTTGTTTTATGCAATGGTTTTATGTGAATATTTAATTATTGGTCATGCGTGGTAAAATGTTTTTATCAAATAGTAACTCATTACAAAATTTGTGAAACATGATTTTATACTATAAACAAATGTTTTTATACAATTTATATTTAAATCATGATATTAGAATATTATTTGTGATCATAATATCAAAGTGAACAGCGATTGTTAAGATATTTTGATAATAAAGAAAACAAAATCAAAACATGTTTACTGTAGTTGGTTTGTTTATTAGTCATTTTGTGAGGATGGCTAAGGAATTATTTCTAAAGTTATAACAAGCACATTCTTGAGTTTTATCTTTATTTTTTAATTTTAGTGCTTCTACTATGATAAGAAACTTTATGCAAACAACAACAACAAATAAAAGCAATAGGAGCAACATTTATTTTATAATAACAGTAATAATAATGAAAATAATAACAATAAAAATACCTATAATATCATAAATAATAAAATCATAATATCATTATATTATCCAGGTTTATACAATTGTAATTGCTATCTCTAAAGCTATGATGATGGTTTATATTTTAGCCGATTTAAAAATCAACCTGTTATACACAGGGTATATACAAATGAAAATACCATATTGAATTCTGGTGTATTTTTGAAGAACATTTTTTTTCAAAAAGTATTAAAGTTTTTGTGTGCAAGAAAAGAAAACTAAAGATTTTCAAATTAAAGAAAAATATGCATCATGTTTTCGATGATATTTTTGTGTATCTTTTTACGTAACATGGTTTGATCAATTTTTACAATGTTCCCCATCTAAATTTGCAGGAAAAAAGTTTATAAAAAGTATACAGTTTTATAGCAAGTTAACAAATCTACTTTTAACGAAGCTTAAAATAAAAAGTTTGCAAAATAGTGTATGTATAGATTTATGTTCTGTTGTTGTTCATTTACTATAAACAAGTATATGAATTTGGAAATGGAAATTTAGTTCAACGCCAATAGCAATTGTGATAAAGTAATTTAAGATCATTTAAAGTTCAGTCAAGCAAGCACCTGAAAATGGTCAACTTTTTGTTTAATATAGATTGCTGTTCCAAATACAAATTGCAGATATGATCCAATACTTTATGTCAAGCAAGGTTCAAATTTTAAACCAAACAAACTTTCTATCTGTTGATCTTCTACTTTGTTTTGAAGTTATGAGTTCAGATAGATATGTAAAACATTTAGTTTACAATTTTTTTATGGCTTTTAAGCTCAAACTAGTAACCAATGATGTAATTTAAAAGTTTTATTTTTACAAATTTTAATTTGAAAGGAGAACAACATACATTATTAAATAAGCTATAATTTGAATGCATATATTTAAATATAGGGAAGATCAATCACCCCTTTATATGTATATATAAATATATAGATATATATCTTTTATATGTAAGTTTTGATTTATATGTAAGTCTGTACAAAGATATAATTTTATATAGCTTTATATTTTATTAAAAGTATGTTTTAATTATATTTTAATATGTTTTAATTTATGTTTTTAATTTTTTTTTTTTTTTTTTGTTGATACAAAAGATGTTTTGTTCAAAGCAGATCAGCCAACCATATAAAGGACAGATAAAACTGACCCTCATCTCAGGCTTAAGGATCAATTAATGCAATTTTTCAAAAGCTTCTTTTGAAGTATGCAACCCTGATGTCTTGATGGGCACAATCACATGGAAGTAATGTAATATTAAATTAAATATTAAACCATATTCAATTAAAAATAAGTTTTTAACTTGTAAGTGAATCAAATTAAATTAAACATTTTATTTTTGTTTTTTTAGATGTTACATATAGTGTTATACAAAAGGGATAAAATAATATCAAACAAAGTTGCTTGGTAGGGTATACTGAATCCATCCACTACTTCTAAAAAATTCTTAAAAACCACTATATAAAATAAAAAACAAGAGAATAGTAAAAGAATTCCTTTTATTTACATATTTAAGCAAACTGTTGATATAAAATTTTAACAAAAAAACATTTTAATATTTTTTATAAAACAAAATAGGGGTAATTTCTACACGTTTTCATAAAAAATTCGAACGTACTTGAACGTTTTGTGTTAGCGGGGAGGTCATACATAACATTCAGATCGCAAACTTTAGGGTCATCCACATTTACCCCACACATTGTGCATAAAATTGGTTTGTTTGCGGCATCACTCATTGTTGTTTTTTTCATGTCTTTTCCTTTCCCTTTACCTAAAATGAAGTTAATTTTCGGCTTGGTTTTCTTTAGTGAGCCTAGCAATGCATTTATCTGAAGTGAGGCTTTCACAACACTGTTTTTTTTATGGCCTTTCCTCTCGTCTCCATTTGCCGCTTCCCTAATTTTTCATGAAAAGGTGTGAGATTTGACCCATGACTGAAATTGTCTTATTTGGATGAAATTATGAATAATTATATATCTAATACCATATACAGATATTAATACTACTAAATTAACATGTTGCCTAAGGATATTTACAAGCAAAGGTTCGAATTGTGAAATTAAAAATTTTATCATCTCTATACACATTAAACGCATCCAAAAAATAAATGATGATTAATAAAAGTATGATGATCAATAAAAATATATTTTAAAATGTATTTTAAAGTACATATATGATACTTAGATTGAAGATGATTTTGGATTTCCAAAAAAAGTTTCATAAACAAATTTCTAAATCAGTATGGATACAGGAAGCATATACTTAGTGAGAAACAGAAAGTTGGCAATCAAAAACATGAGCTAAAAGTGGTTCAAGTTTTTTTAGTTTATCTGTATTGCTCCATATCTTTTTAGAGGGTGGAATTTCCCCGGGGATAGAATTACCCTAGTCTAGCCTACAATTGTTTAAAATAAGTTTATATTATTTGCGTATTTAATTGCGACATTATTTTTGCCAATGCATTGTTTAATTTGATAAAGTTAGTACATTAACTATTTCTATTTGGTAACATTATGTTACTAATAATACAATTCAACTTTTTATCGTATTCCATAAATTTTTTTTTTTAATATTGAAAGTAGCTTGAAATTTTCAAAACTTTTAAATCATTTGCTAACATCTTTTAAAGAAATCTTTGTTGCAAGCCTTAACATTTTAATAAGGTACAAAGTAGGCGCTTTTTATCCCTTAACTTAAATGGAACTAAGTTTCCGATTTTGGCAACCTGGTTAATAATACTGATTCATGGTGCAAATAAACCAGGTATATTTATATATTAGTGGTTAGAGAGCTTGCTTTATAAGCCGGGGATCTGGGTTTGAAATGAGCCTTTAATATATTTATCGTCACAGTAAGGAAGGGCGCGTGAACTTCCTGGTTAAATCCATTTCCGCGGTGCTCTGTGACAAGACCGTTAGGACTTCTTGGGGCACATAAATAACAAAATTTGATTGCGATTCAATAATCATTTTAAATTTTGATTGCGTTCATGCTACTAGCTGAACTAAAATTAATGTCATTGTTGTTTTACATAGCCCATAGATTAGTAAAAAAATTTTTAAAACGTCCATAAATTCAAATAAATGTCATTAAGTAAAATTTAATGAGGTTCGTAGTCAGCTAAAGTTTGAAGTTGGCTGGCCGTATATATACTACTTACTTCCTTTTCAGCTTAAGTCCTCTTCGTCTTTTTAATATTTCACTACAGATCTCTCGTATAAACTATATATTCAGTCCATGGGAAAGTCACTAGTAATACCTACTATGACCGGACCCGGGTCTTGTTAAGTCTGTTCAACATAGACCAATTCTAAATTATTTGTTTGGCCTGTTTATTTCATTAATTTTTAGTAAACGGTCATTTGCTATCATTTACTAAAAATTCCTTTTGTTACTCAAAATTTACCTTACTAAATATTTTAACACAAGTAAAGAGGTTCCTCCCCTTTTTTTGCTTTAATGGTGGCCTGGTGAGTAGGTTTTTTTTTATTAAGAGTAATCAAGTTTTTCTTTAACTAAAATAATAAAAATGTAAAACACTGATTTACATTTTTATTTACAAACAATTATTCTTTCCTCAAAAGTGTTGCAAATGCAGACTAAGCTAACTAATTAGTTAAATATGTAAATAAAACATAAGTAAATCAATATTTGACAAATGCGCAAAACTATAGTATTCTGCATGTTTTTAAAAGTTTTTAGTTACGACCCCCCCCCCCCTCCTTTTACAAAGATCCCCTAAGATACGTTCAACAAATTATTAGGCATAAAATTAAAAAAAAAAAACTTAACTAATTGCATATATATTTATATCTTTTTACCTAACAAAAACTTACAAAAGGAAATCAGGTTTTTTTTATAAATCTTATAAATGTGTCATAACGTAAATCTAAAATAAAAAGTAATGGAATTACATCATAATTACAAAAAAAACACCAAATTTCAAAATAAGTAACTATAAATTGGTAAATCGATTTCATAAAAATTGAAAATCGATTTACCTATTTATAGTTACTTTAATTGCAATTAATATAAACTTTTATCAAAAATGTAACTATAAAATCTGTTTTGAAGTACAAAAGGATTAACAAAAAAAAAAAATCAAACTAAGATTTAAATCGCACTTTTAGCAAAATGTTGTCTTTGTTTTTAGTAAATAAATAAAAGCAGTAAATTCCAATAATGAAACTACCTATGGTTCATTTTTAACAATAGACGCCAACGGAAAGGTAAGCCAAGCTGTCTATCAACACAAAACATCACAACAGTAACATTACAGCAATAACACATAGCAATAAAATCCAGTGAAAATAACAAACTAGATTAAAATATGAAAGGCAAAATTAAAAAAATATTTTAGAGTTATATTTATCTTTTTATTAAACTTTAAATAAGGTATATTTGTTTTTATATTCAACATTAGCTATTCAATTATTTCAAATTTAGGACATTAAAGCACGCTAGATTTAAAGATTTAGGTTGCATACTCTCTCATACACATTACGCTAAACATTAACAGACATTATTAAGTGTTTTCAGAATAATTTAAAAAGGCTAGACAACACAACCTAGCTCTAAAGCAGTAACACTGCCTAGCATTAAATGCTGCTAAGTCACACCTCTGCTATAAGTACACCTCTTGGCTGGCAAGGTTATCAAACTTGCTCAACATAATACCAAGCCACACCACTTTGAAAACATAGAAACGACTCAATATAAACATATATACAGCTATAAACAAATATGACTTTATATAAGACATATAAGCACATTTTATATTAAATGGCAGATATATTTATCAAAAACTATGGAAAAAAAAAAAATAATAATAAATAAAGTTACACATGCTCACAACCTTTAACAGTAAATTTTCGAAATAAAAATCTTATAAATGGTCATTATCAATTGTAGTATTGAAAAATGCGCAAGAGCTCAGTAATTACACGAGTTTTATCAATTCTCCCTGTACTTACTGTCATTTAAGTCTCATCTAAGATAGAGAGGAAGTGTTTCAAAAGCAGCATGTTAAAAAAAGTAAAAAAGATATGCAATAAAAAACAGTAACTGATTTTATGCTACCAATAAACAAAATTATTTTTACCTGAATTAAAAGTTAATTTCCAGCATTGCTTAATTAAGATTCAGCTTCTCTCTAACTATTGACTAATGATTAATAAAGTAAATTTCACATCATATTAAATTTACAAAATTAAAACCATGTTTCAACAGTAAGCAAAATAATCAAGTGATGATAAAGGCAACTAAAAAAAAAAGAACAAAATTATGTTTGAAAAAAAAAAAAAAAAAAAAAATTAAAATCATTTAAAATTGAAACTGTTATTAATTGTTACTATAAATAGTAAAATTCATACCTTGCTTTATTCTTAAGTGTCTAATGTAAAATCAAATTAATAGACATCAACACCGCTTGACAATGAATTCTGGCAAGTAAGTTTTCTGTTCATCGAGCAGAATTTCTTACATTTCAACGAAAATTAATTTTATCAGGCCTAAATCTATCTCTTTTATTTGACAACAATTTTTCAAGTCACCTATTACCATTTACACTAAAAACATCTTCGAGCCTAATATTATACATCTGTTATCATTAAACACATTACCAGTGATTATACTACTGTTACAAATGAATAAATGAACGTAAAATAATTTTACAAATTGTGATCTTTTCTAATCAAAGACTTTTATTTTAAATTAAGATTTATTGATATTCATATATTTTTATAAGTTTATATAAAGAAGTTGTTCATTAAAAATATAAAACAAAATTTTTTTACATTATTTTTAATTTAACAAAGAATTTAGACTACAATGCACAAAGTTATTTTTACCTTCAGACACAATCTTAATGCACAAAAATAATAAATGCAGAACCTTTTATAAAAAAAGAAGCAATGTCAGTCTAAAGTAATATATGTATGTGTGTGTATATATATATATATATATATATATATATATATATATATATATATATATATATATATATATATTCAAATTTTTTTTTTCTTTTTTATTTAAGATAATATTTATATAGATAGAGAAATATAAAATATACTGAAATATAGGCACATTTATGTATATAAACTTACCTGTCAAACAAATTACAGTCAGCTTTCCATGTTAAATACATAAAATATATCTAATATAAAATAAATTCAATAAAAAATAAAACAAAGTATTAAACTTACTCAAATCAGTAACAGTTCAACTGTCTAAAAATTTTTATTATTATTAATCCTTCTATTTAAAAAACAAACAAACAATTGATTTGAAGTGACTAAAAAGCACTTCAGCTCTTTCTAATTGCACTAAAAAAAAGAACAAATCTTGCTTCTCTAAGTTGCCTGGTTCTTAAGAATCCGAAAACAAATAAGTAAAAAACGAAAAACAAACAAACATTTATTTTTTTAAACTACTCTATTTAAACAAATTAAATTAAACAGATTAATTCTCCTTGGAAGCTGAAAAACTTTTCAACTCTAATTTACTGGCAGACCTTGCTTGTAAAACACTTGAATAAGCAAAGCATTTAAAAAAGCCTAGAAACTACTTAAAAAAGGTATATGCAACATTGAACTTTAAATGTTGACTGGACTAATTACCAGCAGATATTTGTAAAAAATTCATAAAAATTTATAATGATTTGTTCTTCTATAACAAATAAATACACCATATGATAAATCTGAAGTTAAAAAATGTAACGAATAAGTAAATACAAACAAAAACATAATACATGATTTGAAAATCAATGTACCTGATAGAGATAAGCTGTTGTGATACCTGAATTGTAGTTGTTAAATATTTTTATTTCATGAACAAAATGTATTTATAGCAAAATGATGTCTTGAATGACTTTTAGTAAATAAATAAAAGCAGTGAGTCCTAGTAATGAAACTACCTATTAATCATTTTTAAACAACAGACACCAACATAAAGATAAGCCAAAGGTGACAACATTAAGAAAAAAATTATCAAAGATAATGTTATGTATTTTTTAGTATAGTTATATTAAAGGCTAGACAAAACTTAGACCTAAAGCAGTAACATTGCTTGAATGGTAAGGTTGACAAATATTGCTCTACAAGTTTGCCAAGTCACACCACTTTGAAATCATGGAAACAACATTATAAACATATATACTAACTATAAAACACAATATATTTTTTTAATGTTATATAACATATAAATATATAAAGAATATTTTTTAATTTTCCTATTCCTAATTATTTTTCTTAAGAGAAAACATACATATAGATATAGAGAAATATAAAATAAACTGAATCATTTTGATTTAAAAAGATCGATTGATGTAAAAGGAATTTAAAAACACATAAAATAACATTTTAAAAACAAAAATTCGTTACTTATATTAGATATAAATAATAAATTTTTTGGAACACTTAGGAACAGTTACAGAAAAAGGATGAGACTTGATTGAATGACGAGTAACAAGTGAATGAATTTTAGTAGATGGCACAAGAGACGCTAGCTCCTTCGAGCAGTGCCCATTATAGTATTTGTAGAAAAGAGAAAGAGAAGCAACATTACGACAACGTGACAGAGGTTGAAGGTTGGCTGCAAGAGCAGGTCCAACTATGTTTACAATGCGTTTTTGCACCTTGTCTAAAAGAGAAAGGGCATCATTAGAAGATCCGCCCCAGATATGGCAACAGTATTCCATACAAGGCCGGATTTGAGATTTATAGAGATAGAGAATAGAATCCAGAGTAAGAAAATGACGATCTCGATAAAGAGAAGCAACTTTAGCAGATGCTGATTTTGCAACTGATTTGATATAAGGTTTCCAAGAAAGATCAGAAGTAAGAGTTAATCCTAGAAGATGAAGGGTAGGAAACTCATAGAGTACATTGCCATTAATAAATATAGGAAGGTCTAAATTATTGCGATAACGATTGGCCGAAAAAAATTGAGTTTTATCTGAATTAAAGTTCACCAGCCACTGTGAGCCCCATGCTGTTGCAAAAGTGAGATCGTTTTCAAGCTCAGATGCCCCCTGCAAGCAAACAGAGGGAGTTTTCTTCTTATCGTGACAAGAATAAATGGTAGTATCATCAGCAAACAATGCCACCTTAGATGTGAGAATATCTGGAAGATCGTTAATGTAAATTAAAAAAAGTATAGGGCCAAGGATTGAACCTTGGGGAACTCATACAGCCTACAAATTTTCAATTCTTGTGTCAACCGAATTGTTACTCTTTAACTCTATTCTTTATTTTCTAATAACTTAACAGTTATTAGAACTTTAAAATAACAAAAATGTGTTAACTCTGAATGTAACAAATACATTATAAACAAATTTAAAATAACAAAAATGTGTCAACTCTGAATGTAACAAATACATTATAAACATTTGCAGCCACTTGTTAAAAGAACACAAAAGACTTATTTGGTGTACTACTTATATAATTAGACACCAAAAGCATATGATTACAAATAATTTTATTTGATAGGAAGAACTTTTTATTTGATCTTATAGGACACACATTATTTTGAAATATTTCTTTTAAGGCAATGATCTCTAATCTTCTTTGCATTTTATCAACACTTTTAAGAAGGCCATAATTGTATAAAAGCTGGCATACCAAATAAAGATAGATAGATATCAAAAGGTAGATAGATGCTAATGGTAGAAAGATATCACAACAAAGTAATACAAAAAAATCTTGAAAATCATCAACAAATTCATCAAAGCTAAATTCTTTAAACTTTTTCTTGAAATCAATTACTGAAATGGCATTGACAACTTTTCTATGCAAACAACTACACTTTTTAAATACAGTGGGTTACCAAAGTATTAAGGACACTTTACTTTTTAAGTAATTTTAAAGTACAAACTACTTTAATGAATAAATATGTATCTTATTGTTATTTTTTTTATTGTTTTTATTGGTAGAGAGTTTTATTTAGAATATAAAACAACATAATTACTTATTCATTGCTATTTATTTTTTTATAAAAAGTTTGAAAACATGACAAATAAGGTAATAATCTTAATATTTTGTAATGCCACCCTTAGCTACAATAACAGCTTTCAGGCATTTGGGCATGCTATCTATGTAGACTTCTGCATTGTGTTGGTGACTGAGGTTGCTATTCCACTCTCTTATAAGGATTTCTATCAATTGCTGCTTGGTAGTGATAATTTTTTTTGGCAATTTTCTGTTTTATGAACTGTCATAAATTTTCTATAGGGTTAATATCAGGTGAATTCCCTGGCCATGGCAAACATGCACTTTTTTTTCAGTTAGGAATGCTGTAACACTTCTAGCTTTATGGGACGGTGCTGAGTCATGCATGAACATATACTCTTCATTACCAGGGAACCATTCTTAGACCTGGAGCAGGAGCCTGTTTTCCAGTAATCGCTTGTAGGAAGGAACCATATGGCAGGACCAATCCTGCTTCATGGTTCCTTCCACAATGTAAAGGCAGCCCATACCCTTGGCTGAGATCACAGACCACACCCCTACACTCACAAGATGTTGAACCTTTTCCAAAAAGCAGTCCTAGTGAAATTTTTTTCTGGGCATCGTCGAACAAATGAGCTTTTGTCCATCAAAATTTGAAATGCTGATTGGTCCGAGAAGCAGACCTGTAAAACATTTTAAAGATATTTTACCTGCAAAATAATTCAAAGATATTTCAAAAATAAATATTTATCCTTAAATTTTTCTGGTTTCTTACAATATTATAAATTATATTTACTCTACTCCATCTACTCTACTCTTCAATAGTCATATTCTGGTGTTTTCTAGCCCATTCCAGTCACTTTTTTTTCATGGCTTCAGTTAAACATTCTTTTTTTGGTTGGACGATAACACACTAAATTCTCTTCAACCAACCGTCCCTGAACCGTCCTTTTGGAGACGTTAATTCCTTCATTATTTATAATTATAGCTAGTTGAGCCACACTTTTTTTTCTGTTTATAAGACAGATGTCTTTACAGTCATAACATGGAGTACTTTTTTTTCTGTATTCAAGACAGATGAATTTACGGTCATAACATGGAGTAGTGATCCTTTTCTGCCACTTTTGCTGACATGGTCTGGTTCTAGAGTCACATTTGTATCATTTTTTTTAAATTCGACTCACTACTGACTTTGAAACACTTGCAACCTCTCTCTGAGAATGTGTAGAATGAAGAAGTAAGGTTTTTACTTTTCTGTTTTTTTTTTTGGGGTTAAGTCTGGAGACTAAAAAAAATTAACGAGAGGTAAGAATAGTTGTATGTCAGGGATTTATGCATTAAAAGTAGCAAAAATACTAAATTAATAACTAAACTAATTGAACTATTAACGAATATTTAGGTTTCAATAGTTTTAAACTCAAAAAACTTGCAAAAAATTGTTCCAAAAATAAGTAACTGAAATCAATTTTGAATTTTTGACTTTCAACCACACTTTTCAAAAATTGACAGCTAATTGAGTAATAACCTAACTTTTTGACAGATCGGGTTATCACAAACTGCCACAGTTTAAAAACAACTATAGTTATATTAGTAACTAAAATACACTCAAAACTTTTTATTTAAAAAAATTTATTTGCTTGCAAAAATCATTTAAACTTTAAAATTACTTAAAAAGTGAAGTGTCCCAAATAATTTGGCAACCCACTGTATATAGTTTGTAAAAAAATTGGTCGCAACAAAAAAGTTTTTAACAAAATGTCTTCTCGACCTTTGATTGTGGCCTTTGTAAGCCTACCCAATACTTGTGGAACGCAGTTCTAATTGATAATATTATGGTTGGTTGTATAAGTTCAAACATTTTAATGAGATCGCTGTTTTCTCTTCTATTTGATAGATTTTGTAAACCCATTTCTTTTAATCTTTGCTCGTAACTTGCTCCCTTTCTTTTGTAGCCAATTTTGGCGGCTTTGTGTTGGACCTATTCGATAAAATTTATATCTTTATTAAAATATGAATTCCATATTTAAGATGCATATTCGAAAAAGTATTTGAAACTTTTGAAAATATATCGAAAATTTAGAAAATAACTCAATAAGAAAAAAATAAATAAATCACTCTACACAGTTTGATCTTGACATCTTATTTAACTGGAAAAAAAAAGGCTAATCAGTTTTAATAAAGAAATATGTGAAATCATGCAATTTGATCTAAAATAAAGCACACTTTGATATATATAATGCTACAGAAAAAGATATCATTTTATTTTACAATAGTACAAGCTTCCTTCTTCCTACTTCCAATGAGATATTTTATTGATTGCTTGTAAAAATGATTGATAGATCAGTTCTCTTCATTGATACACTTAATAGCTTCAGCAGACTGTGAAAATCAGTGGCGAGTTTTAGGGGGGGCATAGGGGTAGTTGCCCCCCCTCATTGGGATCGACTATTATAGGTAACTACACATACACGAACTTGATTATTACACTAAAGTACAAAAAGTTAAAAAAGAAAGTCACTTTTAAGTGAAAAAATGCAGACCTTTTTTTTAAAAAACCATTTTAGCCACCTCCTTGGTGAGTGACAAAACCGACCCCTGGTGAAAATATTGAAGTTTATATGAACAATATTAGGAATAGTACAAGAACATACCAAGTATATAACAAAACCATCAGTAGGAGCAGGAATTTAAATTTAAGGCCTTAAGTAATCTGGATCAAGATACTAAATATGATATACTAAATATACTGAACACAAGAAAGTTTATACATATTTTAAACAATATTAAATCTAAAGTTCCTAAACAACAGCAATAAAAATAGCAATTAAGATTTACTACAACCTTATTGGTGTTGGTTTAAATAAATGGAAACATATTAATATAAATGTTAAAATTTAATAAATGTTATATGACAAAACAAGTTAAATAACATGTTTGAAATAATAAACTAACTTTAAGATGTTTAAAACAGGCAAACAAGAAATGAAAATTAATTTGGATAACTCTTTAATGTTTTTTTCTTTTAAAATCTATTGTTTAACTTTATCTACACAAAAAAGAAAAAAGAAATCTTACATCTCTAGTAAAATGACCAGTATAAGAACTTTTTGAAGGAAAGCAAACTGGAAACACTCTTTCCCTTACTACTTTATTTCTTGACAAAGCATCTTTAATACGGTTTGAGAATTGCACTCTTCTAAATTTAGTATCCTCAGCAATCTAAAACAAAGTTTATTTAAAAAAAAATTAGCATAAATTAATTGGTTATATTTTAAGTTGATGCATGTATGTCTTGAATAGTTAATATAGGACTGACTTAAATCTCATTTCAATAATATAAATTAAACAAACAAAGAAATAAAACCTTAAAACTTGGGAACTTTTAAACTTTCTAAATTTTTATTTGAAAATTACAGTTAAAATTCTTGGTGACCAAGAAATTTAAATATAGCAAATAGCTTTTTGAAAAACTGTGATCTGATACCTATTAAGAAAATTAGACAAAAGAACAAAAATAAAAGGTTTAGACATATAATCATTAAATACAGGAGCTATTTTGGAAACAAATTGATAAAGAAAAACATATTATAATAATAAATGAATTTTATAAACTTCTATAGAAGAGGTTTTTCTATCATTCCCGTGCATACAATCAAGCACTTTACATCCTAAAACCATAAAGGGAGTACCATTAAATGATATTGAATCATCTTATTTTGTGTACCATTAAATGATATTGAATCATCTTATTTTGTGGTGTTTTGCAGAAGAATTTTTAAAGAAAACAGCAACAACAAAAATTTTCAATAATAACTATACAAATATAAAAGAAAATTAAAATTTAGCAATTGCATTTTAAAAACACTTAATTAAAATTGTCATACCCATATTTCCATAGTTTTTAGCAGCACTATAGCATGAAAACTTTGATACAGCCTCTGTTTCGTAGCTATGTATCAAAAAAAGTATTTCAACGTATGCTTCTACAGTAACCCAACTTCCTTCTTGAGAAATAACAACTAAAAAAATTTAAACAGTAACAAGCATACAAACGTGGAAATTGATACTTCATTTAAAGCGTGCTTGTAGAGGAAATTCCTTTTTAGACAAAAAATTTTAAATTATGAATATAAAAAGCTTATATTATATTACTCGTTTAAAAACATTCGGAATGTTTTTAAATTTTTAAATTTCTCAGGAATGTCATTCCTGAGAAATGTTTTTAAACGAGTAATAAAACAAACATCAACATAAGCTTTTTATATTCAAAATTTAAAATATTTTGTCTAAAAAAGTTAAAATGTCTTGTATTACCTCTACTCAATGTTGTTTTTTCTAATAAATTTAAATTATTATTATCTCTAATAATAATTTTTTTACCAATTTAAATTTAATCTTCGACGATAACCAGGTGAAAACGCGCTCCACATTTAAAGAATATTAATTATTTCATAAATTAAATTATAAATGCAAAAATTAATTATGTTGGACGTGAAGCGGGACAATTGCGGAACATTTTACGGGACCTAACTTTACGCTATGGAATCATGTACTTACCAAAAATGTCTGCATTGTTTGGTTGATTAATTTTATATTATTAATTTTGTTTAGTTATTTATCGTTTAAAGATATTTTTCAATTCTCTATATTCTATACTCTATGATCTATTAACTATAATCTATACAATTTTTAAATAAAGGAAAATTGAGTTTAGTTATTAAGTTTAAATAAGTTGTATATATTCTTTAATTTGTTTTATCATTTTTAAAGACTTTGATTTGATTTAGTATTGTATTTTTTCACTCAGATTTTTAAAACTTGGAAAGAACCATAACAAAGATATATATCATAGTAAAGAAGTCAGTTGACCAGAATTTACATGTCTGCTTTAGTCTACCTAGTTTTGAGTATCTTTTTTTAGATATCCTTGTAATGTGGTCTTTCTATTTCAGATTATTACTTATATTGATGCCTAGGTATCCTTCCTATGTTGTTTTATTCAATTTGATGATTTTTCCCATCACGGGTTGTATATGTATTTATTCAGATTATTACTTATGTTGATACCTAGGTCTTGTTACTGTGTTGTTTCATTTAATTTGATGATTGTTCTATTGTGGGTTTTATTTATAATATATATATATATATATATATATATATATATATATATATATATATATATATATATATATATATATATATATATATATATATATATAATAATGTTTACATGATGCATACATAATTATTTTATTAATGTGTGTGTGTGTGTGTGTGGGTATTGATCAGCGTTATATACTGTTGGAAATACAGCTCTAAAAGGGAAAAAAAAATTTAGTTATGCTATATCGTTTTGATTCGGTCAATTGTTGCATATTTGATGTCAGATGCCATTACAAGGCTAAAGTTGTATTTTTTATAATGTTTTTTTATATATGTATGTATTTATGTATGTATATATATATATGTACACATAAATTATGTTAGTATATTCTACAAATAGAGTGATGTCTGCAATGTTCTTAAAGAACAGAGCAATCAGGGCTGTGGAGTCATGGAGTGGGAGTTGCGACACTGTTAGTGGAGTCAGAGTCGCTAAACAAACTCGCGACTCCGGCTCCAATAGTAAAACTTCTCAGTATTGCATGTTAATGTACAAAATATTTAACCTTTAAAGAGCTTTTCATATATTTGACAAAAAAATTTTTTTTATTTATTTATCGAGTAATATTTTTTAAAGAATTCAAAGAAATGTTTATTCAATTTTTATTCAAAATTCAAAAAAGTTTTGCTTTGGAGTCGGAGTCGTTCTCTAAAAATTTCAGCGATTAAAAGTTGGTACTTTTTTTTCCCAACTCTACATGCCTTAGAGCAATAATAAATTTGTAATAAAACTTATCTAATTCTCTTTGTCACCTTGTTTTTCCATCAGTAGGTTCATCAGGAAGCTTCCTGATGAACCTACTGATGGAGAAACAGATGGTGACAAAGATAAATGATTTTACTAATTTATATATATATATATATATATATATATATATATATATATATATATATATATATATATACATATATATATATATATATATATGTTTGTGTATAGGTAGCGATTCTTTACAGTTATTGGCGTTTGACAAAATTGTTATAATTTTCTTGAACTATACTTGTTTATATCTTTTTTTAAGTTAAACATGAAACTTGAGATTTTTTGCATTATTCAGTTTAAATTTACCTTTTCCATCCATTTATAGAAAGTACTATTTACTACTTTATATACTATTTATATGGCTTCACTTATTTATTTTACTTTTCAGAGTTTCAGAGAAAAGTTATGTTCAAACTTGCTGAAATTAAAAGCATTTTAGTAAATAAAACTGCACAGTTCTCTAATGATTCAGAAGGTTATAAACAACTTAAAAGTTCAGATGAACCTAATGTTTTGAAAAGAAAAATTGCAAATGGAGATATCCAATACATCACTTTTGTGTGCATGAATTTTATCTTTATAGTTTATATATTATTACAATATTTCTTTTGAATTGTCATGAACATTTTCAATGTTTCTTTTGCATTATTTCTTTTTAGGTAAAACAGTTATCATTAATTGGAGGTAAAAATTCAGTTGATACAATTAAAAATATTTTGCTCTTGTAAGTAATTAGCATAAGTTTGAATTTTAACATTTATGTTTGACAGCATGACATTTATCATCTTTTTTATATGTAGACTGACAACAGATACTATTTTCAGAATGCAGCATGAATGGTGTAAAGAAGAAAAAAAAGTTTAAAAAGTTGACAAAAGGTATGTATTGCTATCACTGGTATTCTTATTAGCTTATTATTGTGTTTAATTTACTTTTAAAATTAAAAACGATCTTTTAATTAAAAAAAAAAAATTTTCTCAATTTTTTTGGCTATGAAACATGACATATATTTTATTTTATGATCTTATTGAACAATGTCTTGTTGTTTTTATTAGATGCTGCTTCAAAGTCAAATAAAAGCTTAACCAAAATGGAGCTTATTGGGAGATTAATTAGGCATTCTTCTGACCGATTCGAGAGAAAATCCACCAATATCCATATTGATCAATGATGGCTTAATTAACTTCAATCAACTGTTGTGTTTTTTGTTTATTTTGCATTTTTCAGTAATTTTCTTTTTACTTATAATATACTATCGATTATACTCTACAAAAAATATTAGTTTTTAATTTGGAAAGTGTAACTTTGTTTGAATAATTTTTCCAAGTTTTTGTAAATTTAATAATTTATTTTAAATATTTGAAATTACACTTTATGAACTTTGTTTTCTCTTTATACCTTGCCCTCTAAGGTGTGTATTGTATATCATTGCATTTTTATATAACTTTTAAAAGAATGTCTAGGTAAATTTACGTCTTTAGGACGTCTGAATAAGACGTCCTTAAGTCTTTCACATGAGACCTGCCAGAGACGTCTATAGGACGGCTGAAAAGACATCTCTAGGACGTCTACAATAAACATCCCTAGGACATCTTGAAAAGACGTCTTTAGGACGTCTGTAATAGACGTCCTCAGGTCTTTCATTTGAGACCAACTAAGGACGTCATACGGACGAGACTTGGGACGTTTTATAAACGTCCTTAGGACGTCAAAATGCCCGTTGGGTTGAGTTTAAAATCAATCTTGCTGTTATCATATGTAATGCACCAGCTAGAGCATTTGTAAAGTGTATTAAAGAACATAATGGTTATAACTGATGTGAATCCTGTGTTTTATAAGGAGAGTGGTGTGGCAAGATAATTCTTCTACATATTTCACTAATTTTATGCACTGATTTGGATTTCTTGTCATCAAAAGCATTCTGAACACCTTAGTGGTGTGTTAAATTGAATTAAATTTTGACAAGGTGAATAAGTTTCCTTTAGTCTTTATGCGTCTAGTATGCTAGGGATAATGCGAAGATTTGTCAACTTATGGTTAAATTGCCCAAATGTTGTAAATTGTCTTAGATTACAGTCAATATTTGATCTGGCGGATTGTTCCAGATTTATCATTACATTCTAAGAAATTTTTCTAGAAAATTAATGTCTTAATTTCATATTAAAAAAAGGAAAGCAACTGAACTTAGACTTTTTATAGTATACACTGGACCAGTTATTTAAAGGGAATGGTTTAGCGAAAAATCTATTCAAACTTTTTATATTTTTCAGTTGTACTTATAATTTCATAATATTTTATTTTGTTGAAAAAATATGTGAATTTTGCTTTTCAGCTACTTATTTTGTGCAGTTTTATATGAGAACTTTATGGTAAGGATCAACTCGTGTACAATGTCCATTTATTAGCACATAAAGAAAATAATACAGTTATGTTTTAAGTACTTGATAGATGTCCTTCTTTCAAATCCAGAACTTTTTCAGGTCAATTAAAAAAACTTGTTCAAAGACTAAAGAGTTGCTCAATTAAACACGTACAAGAATTTAAGCAGAAGTTTAGTATTCCTTATTTTGATAGTAGTAATCAGTGCCTTGAGACACTGTTTACAGTTTAAAAATTATCAAGGTTTAGAGTTTTTTGTTTCAGCTAATAAAAGTGATAATTGTTTTGGAATTACAAAAAAATATGGTTAAGGTAAAAAGGTTTTAAAAAGCAGACAAATCTTATGACAAATGAGGAATTTGCAACTTTTTAGTCGTTTTATACATGTATATATATATATATATATATATATATATATATATATATATATATATATATATATATATATATATATATATATAATATATATATATATATATATATATATATATATATATATATATATATATATATATATATATATATATATATATATATATATATATATATATATATATATATATATATATATATATATAAGTGTGTGTGCGTGTGTGTTTGTGTGTGTGAGAGAGAGTATGTGTGTGTCTCTCTTTCTCTTTATATATATATATATATATATATATATATATATATATATATATATAT